CCTTAGCTTTCCTGACTGCCTTCATGAACTCTGTCTCGGTTTCCCTTTCTCTTTCCCTTGCTTCTTCTAATCTCTCCTCCTCTTCTAAGGCATCCAGAAAAGCGTCGCGCTCCTTTCTTCGCGCAATTCGCTCTTCTTCGGTTTGAGGCATGGGTCTAAGTGGAGGAGGGGGAGGGATTGACGATGGTATATAATCTTGTTGTATAGGCTCCGTAAATTCGATAATAGGTAATCCGTCTTCGTTGACCAGCTTGGGAGTGATATCAGTATCACACTTAGTGTAGTGAACTGGCACAAACCTGTTCGTTTGGCATATCAAAGTCTTCGCCTACAAGCTCTTTCAGTCGTTCTGCCAGTTTCTCCAGAGCCTCTTGAGAGATTGGCTGAGCGAATTTTGGTTGAGGACCCCCCTCTTGGTTGAAATTGGCCGAACCAGACTCGAGATTGGTAAAAAAGTTACCCAACTCTTATTAAAAGGATGAGAAAACATGAATTCAGAATATTTCTGCTCACTTTGAGCACTATCCTGTGTCTTATTCTTTGGTGGCATGACTAATGCAGCTCTGTGGTGGGTTCCAAGAGACAACTTGGTAGGGATGGCTAAAGAATGGGACTTGTTGATCTCATGAACTTAGAACATGACTTAGATATCGTGGGACTAATACGTCGACACCTCCGGTTGGAAGGGGTTGCAAGATATATCGAATAAACAGCAATACAATTCGAATCGGTAATATTTGCTATACATATTTATATCATAGGTCGTTTACGATCGTAAATCTGGGCTAGGAGCCCTAGAACACCTCCATTGGCAAGTTCCTCGGCTTCCAATTCCTCTTCTTCTCTAGCTTTTGAATCTTCTTCCGCCATCTGGGCGGTTTCAGTCAGGAAAACGCGCCCACCACGAGTTCTAACATCGTCGACGTAAGAGTCTCCGAGTTCGCTTCCAATTCCACCATCTTCCGCACGATCATCATGGACGTGTTGACTATGGGAGACAAAGGCATTGTGTTCTTCTGATGGTACGGTCCGGTCCTTCGATGGGCCAGAGGTAGCCGGAGTCATCTGTAAGCTTCCGACCATTCCCTTTCTGCTCCTGGCTTTAGCCATTGACTGTGCCAAAGCCTTCTCATAAAGCTGAGAGCGTTCGGCGAGAGTAGAACGACCCTGTATCGACGCTGATCCAATTGCTGGGGCCGTAGACTGTCGTGTCAGACCACCTCCATGATACCGTGAGGTACTCATGTCTTGATGCATCTCCCGTAACCTCTCCAGGTAAAGACTTCCGACAGGATCCGATGGTGTCCATTCAGGGTGAGCAGCTTTGAATGCGAGGAAAGACTTCTCCATTTTCCCGTCTTTACTTTGTAGCCTTTCATCCTCTTGCCATCGACCGTCCTTGCCAGCCTCTTGTGTGTTGATGTCTTGTTCTCCGAAAGAAGGTGCGCCAAATCTAATGTTGCCATGCCGCTTGAAATCAAATACGGCAAATGAACAGACATGTCCAAGGGTATCTACATGGACAGTGAACTCTCTAAAAAAGTCTATTATTGCTGGTGCGCTGTTCGGGAGGGCTAGCATCAAAATCAGAGGCGTCATAACGACTGAGAGGAGTTCTTGAGCAAATATCATTGCTTTCATAGTAAAAAGCTGGGAAAATTCGCGATAGACCTATCAATAGAAGATATTCAGCACATATATTAAGTTAGAGGGGTCAATATTACCATTTGGCTATGCAGATTTCCCTTCCAACCCTCAGGCATATAATGTGTATGCCTTATGACCTCTTTCATGAGGATTTCAGGATCGAAAACGAGATGGCCATCCT